TCTCCAGCTTTTATCGAAAAGCAGCAGCCAGCAGAAATGCTCTCACAGGTCAAAAGCCTGGAAAGAAACTAAGTATTCACACACAAAAAAAATAAAATATGGATTTTTAGGTCCAAAGAGCAGCCCTGTTCAAAGCTGAGCCCCGAGATCTGATCTCTGGATTGCTGCACCTTGCAGAGACAGCTCTGCTGCCAAAATATGGAAAATTAAGGATGCTGCTGGCTGGGAGGAGCCCAACTGCGTCGTGCTGCGTCCCCCTCGAGGGTGCCCAGGCGAGCAAATCCAGCCTCGCCTTTCCCTTTCCCGCAAGCACCAGTGAGCTCGGGAGAAAGCGAATGCGTGCGAGCGGCGGCGAGAAGCAGCTCCCTGACAGCAGAAAAACAAGGTGATGGATGGGCCCTCCAGCAGCGCCAAGCCTGGGAACCGTCCCCGCGCGTCCCCCTGCCCCAGGGAGGTAACGGCGCATCTTGGGGGGTTCTGCTTCGATGTGAAGGCACCGACAGCGGGGGCTGGTTTGAGCTCGGGTCAGGGAACAACGCTCACACTGGAGCGATCCCCGTGTCACCCCTGAGGAGGATGCTGAGACGTGAGCATCATCTGGAAAAGGCTCCAGAGTGCTACGTCTTTTAAATTTGATTTTTATCCTCTTTTTCAGGCATTTTTCCTCATTGTTTCCCAACCAGGACAGCCAGCAGGGAGGAACGGGGATCTTCATCCACTTCCCATGGCTCAGTCCCAGGAGGGCACGTGGCTTCGAAGCAGAAAACGTCCAGGGGACGGCCCTGTCTGCATGAACCTGTTGCTGACTTCAGCAAAGATTTTCCAGTTCCTGCAGCGGGAGCAGAATCAGGCCCCAAAGAGAAGAGCAATTTCCTTATTTACTTTTTGGCATCGATCCACCCAGAAAGGCGAGGAGGGAGGCGAGCGCAGTCCTGAGCTGGGGGGAACCAGGGATGTTTCCCGCTTACACCAGCTTATGGGAAGACTCCCTGCTCCCCCTCCCAACAACAAAAAAAACCCCATCAGGCTCACCCTTCAAACCTTGCTCTTTCCCCAAGAGCGCTGAGGCTCTTGGAATTGCTTACAAAATTCCTGAGTGACACGTGTGGGAAGAAATCACACCGAGATGCGACCAGTCCTTAAAAATTTGGGGCTGCCAATGGGTCCAGCACCCAAACCCCACCCATTTAGCAGAGAAGTGCTAAGGGGATGGGGCTTGCTCGATCTGCCTTGGCACAGTTCAGCATTTTATAGGGATGATCTTTGGCCTCTTGCTCAGACCAATGAGTAGAAAAAGGCTGGAGATGGGCGTAGGAGCACCGCCAAAACATCGCTCCTGCTTTTGATTAAGTCCCAAGCGCTGCAGTTCACTTCATCAAGTGGCTTGATTACCCCTCTGCAACAGGACTCCGGGGGCAAATCTCCCCCGAGCCCAACGCTTCATTTTCTCCATCAATTCATTCCCAAGCCACGCTCGCAGGAGTGACTGGGAAGGAGCTCATCGTGCTTTTCCACCAAGCTCAGAGCCAGGTGCCACCATGGAGCCACGCTGCACAGCGCCGCCGGGCTGTGCTTTGCTAATTGCTCGTTAACGGAGCCGGTATCACCGCGACTCACCCAGGTGCTAACCGAGGTCACCGGGATGGGTTTATGAAGGAGTTGATCACCAAGGAGCCGTAGAGGGGCGTCCTCTAAAACAGAGGGACCTGTCGAGGGACCTGGCAACGCCGCGTTCCGCCTCCATCTGAACACTCGAGCGCATGTGAGCGCTCGCACGTGCTTCGAGCCGGCAGCAGATGGGGAACGGGGTGAAGCAACCAGGCGGCGTCGCCCCGGAACGCCTGTGCTTGTTTACGACGGCGGCACGGCGCTCTGAGCCAACGTGGGCTTGTCCTCCCTCCCGCTGAGCGTCACGGAGGGGATGCTCACCGAGCATCCCCGCGCTCCAGCCCGCACCGGTTGTGGTCCTGCAACGACGTGAAAATTGGCCGCGCGATGCTCTGGAGCGTCCGAGCCAAAAATCGACGCTTTGTCATCAAGGGGAGGAGCTGACCCCCACCAGGGGGGTAAATCCCCTTCCCTCCCTTCAACCCCGTTGCCTGTGGCTCCTCTCAATCACAAAATCACGGAATTCATCCCCGCGCTCCAGCCCGCACCAGTTGTGGTCCTGCAACGACGTGAAAATTGGCCGCGCGATGCTCTGGAGCGTCCGAGCCAAAAATCGACGCTTTGTCATCAAGGGGAGGAGCTGACCCCCACCAGGGGGGTAAATCCCCTTCCCTCCCTTCAACCCCGTTGCCTGTGGCTCCTCTCAATCACAAAATCACGGAATTGTTGAGGCTGGAAAAGCCCTCCAAGATCATCAAGTCCAGCCTATGACTCAAAACCTGGTTTTAATCACTACTTTTTCCTAGACCCTCGTAAGCAGCCACACTGTCATGGGGGATGCTGGCCTTACCCTGCCTCCAAGGTCCCTCCACCCAAGCAGAGGCTCACATGCCAAGATAGACCTGGGCCAACGTGTCTGAGTCCATATTTTGGGAAATGCTGAGCAGGACCTGAGTGCTGAAGGGAGGTAAGGAGTCCGAAGGTGTCCCCAGCAGCAAGGGAGCAAGGGGACACCACTGGAAGCAGCAACAGCGACAAAGAAATACACGTCACATGGAGATCCACCTTAGTCTTCTCCAGCGCCCAGGTCAAGGGGGCAGTGAGTAGGGGTAGTTCTCTTTGAGCTGCTCCAAGACCAACCACTGGAATTGGGCTCAAACCATGGTGGATGCCACCAAGATCTGCAGCGTATTCCTGAACCAGCTCCATCTCCTGCTTTCCACAGCTTGTAAAGACATCAGTACCTGTCCCAGGATCTGACAGATGGCCATCAGCAAGTCGGGCTCAGAACCAAGCTCATCTCAATTTGCAGAGCTGCCAACATCCCAGTACCAGAACAAACAGGCTCGGCAGGAGATAAATCAGGACCGGGGGAAGAGGAGCCTCTGCGGCTCCCAAGGGCTTTTGGCTGGAGCGCAGGGGCCTGCTTTGCCCCTCTGATCATCCCTGGTCACCCCTAACCCTGACCACGCTGAAGCATTTCACCAGGGAAGACATCTGCCCTGACCTGGGACAGCATCCCACCGGTCCATCCCCAACAGCCCAAGCAGGACACAAATATTGAGGTTCCCTCTTCCCAAAAGGTCTCCTGTATCACTCAAGCCCCTCTGGACACCTGATCCACCTTTCTCCAGGTACAAGACCATTTCTTAAACATAGGGGTAAGCAACAGATCTATTTTTCATTGTAAAAAACACCCTGACGTTTTCAGGAAAGACACCAGAACAAACCAAGATGCTCAAAGTGCCCTTTCGAATAGCTGCTGGTCCCACCACGCCAGCAGAAAAACCTCCTGGCCTCCTGCAACCGAGTAATTCGGGAGCCCAGCAAAAGCAGCCCTGGATCCCCAGCTCTGAGAGCTACTCTCCTCCTGGCTTCTGCAGGACCAAGCTCAAATGCTTCAGTTGAAGAGATGCCCAACTTGAGCGTCTTGTAAGGATGAAGATGAGCATTGGATTTCATCCCTCTCCATCCCTTCCAGCTCAGCATCCCCCAGTCTGGACCAGGACTAGAGCCCTCTCACTTCTTTGCATTAGCAGGCGTTAAGAAAAGAGACTGACTTCACAGAAAAAGGCACTTCCAGGGAAAAAAGAAAAAAAAAAAAGGCATTTAATGCAAATATTTGCATAGTGCCCTTCTGCCCAAAGATGAGCAAAGGGTTTCATTTTTTCCCCTTTCTAAGGAAAGAGTTTGAGCCTGAATGCCAAAGGGAATCCTTGAACCTATTTACTTCTACTAATGTAATAAATGTGATTGCCCTCAGCCACCTCCGTATGCCCCAAGCCCACCCAGTCTTTACAAGCCCGTGAGAGTCTCCAAAGCACCAAAACCAGGAGCCAGCAGGTCTTGGGGTGCACCTCAGAGGCAGCACATCATCTTTTCTCCTGCCTGGTCCCAGCTCGCACACACCATTCCCCACGAGTGCCTGGCATTAGATGGTACCAGGGAGGTAGAGGTAGGTCAGCTCTGCAAGCTACATCACCCCACACCACCCTGGACACCCAAGAATAACTGCAGAAATAAACTCAGCTGTGTCCTAAGAACGATCCCAGCAACCAAGGGTGCAGCTGGATACCGGATTTACCCTCCCAGGGGTACTGGGAGATGAGCACAGGGCAGGCTGGCTGGTGGAGCAGAGAAGGCTGGTGCGAAGGGATGAGGCTGAAGAGGACTGCTGTTTTGTCATGGGAAGAAGAGCTTTGTGTTTTCCTGACTCATCTCCCCCACAGTTTCCCATCGAAAACCTCAACACTTTGCAAAGCTCACTTTCCAAACCCGGAGGAGACAGCCTTTCTGGCAGCCCGGTGCTTTTGGCAAGGCAGCGCTTGACACATCGCGGCTCCCCACGCTCAAACCCACCAAGAGACATCAGAAGAGGAGAGGAGAGGAGAGGAAAAGCCTGGGGAATTGAGGTTTTTTTCCCCCTATTGAAAACCTTTTGACCACCTTCAGTCACAACCTCAGCACACCTCCGAGGAGAGATGTCCCCCCTTCACACCACCCTGAGATGGGTGATGGAAGCCCAGGGGGAAGAGCTTGGAGGGACAGGAGAAGCTGAAGCGCTGGGGAGCAAAGGGATGGACCTGTCCCCAAGGAGGGCAGTGCAGCCAGCAGGGGGTCACAGACCCCAGATGGTGGCAATCAGGGGAGCAGAATTTGGGAGAGGAGAAGACAAAAAGGATAGAGCTAGCACAGAGAGACGTGGTGGATGGCGATGAAGCAGATGGAGAGGCAGGAAGACAAGTGGATTTGGGGAGCAGAGAACAACAGCCAGGCAGGCAGATGGAGATGAACCATGGTGTTGGATCGATGCAACAAACTTCCACCTCATTCCCTCATCTCACCCTGCCCAAACCCCTGAGCCCAGCTCCCACCTCCATCTTCAGCCATACCTTTCTGGATGCCTCCATCTGCCGTGCAGGAGAAGTCACCCGTGGCCAGCAAGAAGCACGTGGAGGACTTCTTGTTCTTATCCCGGGTGCTGGAGCGCCGCATGGGCCGCTTCTCCTCGTCGGTCGGCGACAGCGGCTGCTCCTCGTCCGACAGCACCACGTTGGCTTCACCGTTCTGCTTGGAGTCTGCAAGAAGGTGGCAGAGACCCGTCAGCAGCTGCAAAGCCCACAGGACGAGGCGCTCGGGGTGGCCAAAAGAGTTTGCTTAGACCACACAAGCAAGCAGAAGATGGCCCAGAGCAAGACCCACAAGTTCTTCATTATGAGGGTGGTAAGACACTGGAACAGGCTGTCCAGAGAAGCCGTGGATGCCTCATCCCTGGAAGTGTCCAAGGCCAGGTTGGACAGTGCTTGGAGCAACCTGGGCTGGTGGGAGGGGGCCCTACCCATGGCAGGGCGGGTGGAACTAGATGAACTTTAAGGTCCCTTCCAACCCAAACCATCCTGTGGTACTAATCCCAGCCTGGACATGCATAAAGAGACAAGAAGAGAGGGACTATGACAGATTTTATCCCCAAACAGCAGCTCTTACTCCTGCTGAGGTTTATATACCCTGACGGGGTCAAGAAACACCCCTGGTCCTTGAGATCCACCCACCTAATTGGTGAGAATTAATCCTCCAAACCTCACACAGCTGAGATGGGGGCTGCTCTGCTTAGTGGTGAAGTGCTAATTTAGATCACCGGACTCAGTGGTTCGTTAGCTGAGAGGATGCCAGGTGAGGGGCTCGACTGAGCTCCTAGACCTGTGCTGGGGTGAAGGGATGGGGCTGACCTTCAGAGCAGGACCCCTGGGGCAGACAGGACATGTAGGCATGTGGAAAAGGGAGATTTATAAAGGAAAACACCTGCCTGGGGCATTTGGAGCTCCCTGTGTCCCCATGGGTGAAGGACTGTCACTGTTAAACACATGTGGCCAGATGTGTGGCTGCTCAGGGCTGACCTCAACAAATGCCATGTTGGTGCAGGACACAACCCCACCGTGGTCCCTCCTGCAAAGCTGCTGGCTGCTCCACAGGTGCCACTGGCAGCAAACCACAATGAAAAGCGCAAAGTAACCTCCATGGGCAGCAACGATAACGCGGCGGGGCTCTCTCAGTCGCCCCAAGCGATGCTGCCCACCAACGACGGCCCACAGCTGGAGACCATGTCCTCCCCCGACCTGGAGGAAAGCCTAGCCCCCAAACTTCAGCTCAGTGCCTGAGACTGAATAATGAACGTACAGGGGCTGGTTTTGCTCCTGCAAAAAGCTCAGGATTTGCAGCAGCGTTGACCTTGCCGTGCAGGGATGCTCCATCTACTAGAAGATGAAGGGGGACATGGGGTCAAGCTGCAGGGAATATCCATGGATTTATCCATTCTGGTGAAGCTCACCCTGATTTATGACAGGAGGAAGACGAAGAAAGTCTATCCTGAGGACATTACCAGGCTAAGATGGGAATTGGGTGACTGGTCTTATCTCTGTTAGCATAAGGAAGAGATGGGCTAGGGAGGGACACCTTGAGTGACACCGTGGTGACTCGATCTGTGCCATCAGGAGATGGCCTTGCCCACCCCTGCCTGGGCACCTTGACACAGGGGACCACACACTCTTGCCTTAGAGGGTCCCAGAGGTCACCCCCCTCCCTCTGCCCCACCTTTGGGGTCTCACCTGACCGTTTCCGCTCAGTCGCCCCCTCCTCTACCGCCAGGGGACAAGTGTCGCTCTGGGTGCTGTTACGGGGTGAGTTCTCCTCGGATTTGCAGTAGGTAGGGGAGTCCAACGGGGCCGGACGGGGTATATGCTTTTTCTTCTTCTTTGGCAGCTTCTGCTTGGCCATGGCCAACGAATAGTACATCCCAAAGTTATTGACAATGACGGGCACGGGCATGGCGATGGTGAGCACCCCGGCCAAGGCACAGAGAGCCCCCACCACCATGCCCGACCAGGTCTTGGGGTACATGTCGCCGTAGCCCAGGGTCGTCATCGTGACCACAGCCCACCAGAACCCGATGGGGATGTTCTTAAAGTGAGTGTGGTCGCTCCCACGGGGGTCGGAAGTCTTGGCTCCGATCCGCTCAGCGTAGTAGATCATAGTGGCGAAAATCAAGACCCCCAAGGCGAGGAAGATGATGAGGAGCAGGAATTCGTTGGTGCTGGCCCGCAGAGTGTGGCCCAGCACCCGGAGACCCACAAAGTGCCGTGTCAGCTTGAAGATCCGGAGGATCCGGACGAACCGGACCACCCGGAGGAAGCCCAGGACATCCCGGGCAGCTTTGGAGGACAGGCCGCTGAGACCTACCTCCAGGTAGAAGGGCAAGATGGCCACAAAGTCAATGATGTTGAGTAGGTTTTTAACGAAGAGAAGCTTATCTGGACAGCAGATGATGCGAACCAGGAACTCGAGGGTGAACCACAGGACGCAGACCCCTTCGATGTAGGTGAGGATGGGCTCCGTCTCCACTTTATGCGTCAGCAGGATGGTTGTGGTGTTGCCAACCACGAGGGTCTCCGTCACGTTGACGTCGATGTTGAAGGCCTCGTGCGTCTCCAGGCAGAAGGTGGTGATGGAGACCAGGATGAAGAAAAGCGAGGCAAAAGCAACTACCTGCAAAAGTAGAAATCCCACGGGCCGTTAGCTCATTTGAGTCAACCTCTCCTCTTTGGAGGAGAGCAGCGATTTTATGAACCGCCATGACAACAACTTCGGGGCCACCTGAGACACACTTCTGGCGTCACATCTCTTTTAATCCCTGCTAGTGAATAGTGACAGCAGGGATGGGAGGAGTCCTCATTCAACAAAAATGGGTACAACAGGCTCTGAACACCCCGGGAGCTCTGCTGCTGCCACTCGCTTCCCCAGGACCAAGGATGGAGAACGGGGAGGGTTCCCTGGACCTGTCCCATGAGTTGAGGGCAAACCTCAGTGTCTGGGGCCCATCAGTCCAGAACCTTTCTCCAAGTGCTACAATATCTCCAGGGGAAGGTGTGCTGGGCACCGGCCGTGCCGGAAACAAGTGATGGGGATGACAGGAGACACGCGACCACCTGAGCTTGCAGCAAGCCTCCCGTGGGAACACACACAGGAAGGGAACTTTGAGAGAATCATAGAATTGTCAGGGTTGGAAGGGACCTTAAAGATCATCTCGTTCCACCTCCCTGCCATGGGCAGGGGATGTCCCGCTAGATCAGGCTGCCCAGAGCCCCATCCAGCCAGAGCCAGAGAGGACTAAGCCAAAGACAGTTCCCACCACATTCATCCCAACCCACCCCAGCTGAGATATTTGCAACATTCCTGACTGTGAGGTTTGGGGTCTGGTCCCTCCCTGCTCCCTAAGGGTCAGTGGAGTTGACGTGTCCCAGGACTGAGAGAGCAGGACAAGGAGGAGCGGAGCTGGCAGAACTCAGCATCATAACACCCAGACACTCCTGTTTCTCCCCTCCTCAGGCCGGGGATGTGAGCGAGGAGGGGCCAGCAGCAGGCGGTGGGAATCGCAGGATGCGGCAGAAAGAAAACACTTGGTCGTCCATCTCCCCCCTCCCCATCAATCCTCCCTGACAGGATGAGCTCACGATGAGTCCATCACCCAGAGCATCTGTTTCCAAGAGCCCCTCCATCCAAAAAGAAAAAAAAACCTAAGCAGAAAAGCTCTTCTTCAGCCTTCCCCCAGCCCAAAATCACAGCAGGTTTGGGAGCAGTTTCCACCACAGCGCCCTTTGCTGCAAACACACCGAGCAGGATGCGACCTTTAGCTGAGGAAGGCACCGCGAGCGAGCTCGAGGCGACAGCTCTGGTCCTCGGCTGGAGTGAATCAGCAGCAGAGACAGCCTGAGTCATGCTTGAGAGAAACCCGGCCCTGGACACCAGCGGCAACGTGCCGGCAGCCCTGAGCCTGCCGAGAGCATCTTTGAGCGGTGTCCCCAAGGGCAAACGGGTCCGGCGCAGGGAGCATCAGCCCTTCAGAAGTGAGATGTGAAGTTGAAGCCAGGATTTAACCGATGGAGAAACCTTCAGAAGATGGTGTTTTCCTCCCCTCCCAGTGATGGACATCTGCTCGAGGATGGGCTGAGATGCTCCAAACCCCTCAGAGCAAAGCACTCCGGGCGACGCGGCGTGATGTAGCGCCGCTGGGGGCAGCTCCAAAGGCAGCCCTGGCTCATCAGAGTTCCACAATCTGGGAAATAAACTCAGCAAAAAGGTGGGATCTTAAAGCAAGACCAGTTTCACCAGATGAGCATATCTCCCCAGCAGTGCCATGGCCGAAATAATCCGCTTTTCAGCTGAGGGCCAAGCTACATTCCTGAGTTTCCCTGTATGGGAATCTCAGGAGAACATGAAGAGTAAAAACTGAGACTCAAAGCAAAGTAGGTAGAAAAAAAAACTACCAAGAAGAAAGTGAGACCTTGCAGGCACTCAGGCAGTGGAGCAACCCTGCTGCATGAGCCGTCTAGGTGAGATCTGATTTAGCCCCAGGAGAAAAAGCAACCTCTAAAAATAGGAGAGTCAGGTTCACGGCTGGTGCCAACCACCGTCCATCCCCCTCAAGTCAATAGAGCTGCTCCAGTTTTGTGTCAGCTGTCCCCTGCTCCAAGCTCACATTACTTTCCAAAACGGTCTTAAAAATAAAGTCAGATCTATGTATGTACCGAGTAGCCACCAGAAAAGCACTGAAAGTCCCACCACACAAGTCCTCGAGTACCTGACAACAATCTGCACAATCTCAACGTGTGCTCAATGGCTTGACATGGGTGTTTCCCCCAAAAAAAACGTGACCCCACGGGTGGTCACTAGGCCTGGAAGTCCCACTGGCAGTGAGGTCCAAACTCCACAAGTCCTCCAAAGGGAAAAATAATGAGGAGCTACAACTGAGAAGAATTTGGAAGTCAAAGTAAACCATAACCAGAGCAGTTTCTCATGAGGAGAAGGAGAGTTTTACGCTCGAGCTGCGGCAGCAGCTGCGCTAGGGACCAAATATTCACTGGGGCTGGACTAGACACAGGAGCCAGGATCCCACGGGCATCGATGCTACAAGGAAAAGATGTTAAAATCATGGAGAGGGAGAATTTCTAACTGTGTGCTCACACAGTTGCCAACTCAGGAGGTGCAGCCCCCTTTGGCTCTGAAAAGGAAGGGCCAGACTCCAAAACGGGGTGATATTAAAGAAATCACACTTCAGCCACCCCAAAAAACCAAGGAAGTACCTGCAGTGATGCTCGTGGGGCCCAGAGCATCCTCGTGCTGGGCCAGTAAGAGCTCCCCACATTAACTGGGTGCACTGGGCAGGTTGCACTCACTTGGGCTGAGTTAAACCGCTCCGTGCCTCAGTTTCCCCATTTTGCCAAAGCAATTCTCCTGAGCCACTGCAAAACTATACTGATGTTTTAGAGTGGGAAATATGACCCTGAAGATCCTGCGAGCATTGTCACTGGGAGGTGACCAGTGCTGAGCTGAGCCTTTACCTCAGAGCAGTAAGAAGGAAGCGGGGAGCTCCCAGTGCAGACTGGTCCCACTCCAACCCCAATCAGGGCTCAAACCACAGCCATCTCTGCTCCCTCCGACACACTCCTCCTGCTAAAGCAAATGCCTTTCCCAGCATGGGAGAAGCTGAACTAAATAATAACATGAAAAAAAAATTGACTTGAATTACCGCACTTTGATTTTGCAGGGCTTTTTAAATTTTTTCAGTGAGAGCTTTGCACCCCTCAGAGCACCTCTTGGAGATGGGCAAAGGCTCAGGCACCCCTTTTAAAAAGAAATAAGGCTCTTGCTGCCCAAGCATCCTCTGCGTGCGTGTGTGTTGCTCTTACGTTAGCTGCAAAAACATCGCTTTGACAAACTGACCTCTTGCCCCACGCGCTGCTGGTGGGTGTGAAATGCCTGCAGGATTTCTTACCATTGAGGAGGGGTTTTTTTACACCTCTAAATGCATCCAGAATTCACTTAAAGCCCAAATGCCTCTCTCTGTGTGCGCAGCAGATACGTGAGCTGGGTGTGACGGGGGGCACACGGGTGAGGATGGGGCTGGCTGGGTACAGGGGGTTGGTCAAGGGGTCAGTGGGCTTTGGGGGGTGAGCTAAGAGTAGCAGGAAAAGGAGATCCGTGCACAGAATAGTGCCCAAGCTGGGCTGGGAGCCCAAATTTGTGGAGGACACGTCCTGGGCACGTCGGTATCTGCGGGCAGGGATCATGTGCAAGGGGGTTGTGG